AAAAAAAAAAAAAAAAAAAAAAAAAAAAAAAGACTAAATGAGAATACGTGTATTCCTTCTACCTCAAAGAAGAAAGAAATAGTGAAAATATGGATCTGTTTCCTTTTCCAAAATTCAAATTAATGTAACATTGCTCTAGAACAACATAAATTGGGAACTTTTCTTTAGTTAATTAAAAGATTTATGCCCAGCCTCTTGTGAAATATGTTATCAGCTCGGAAGATAAAATCATTGCTATATAAGTCACATGTGTATTTGTGTTTATCACTGCAGTGTGAATTTCAGTTTATTTTTTTAAATCAGAAGCATTCCATTCGTCTTTCTACATCATTCTCTGTACTACGACCACAAAGAAGATACTATCTGCTTGAAGAATTCCTAATTCTATTAAAAATAAATGCATCAGGTCTCCAACCAGAACACAATGGCGGCCATCCAATCTCCCTATCCATATTTGTATCAAAGGTGTATAAGATTCACTTTGTCAGACTTACGAACAAATCCGACTTACAAACAGAACGGAACTCATTAGTAAGTCGGGGGCTTACTGTACTTTGTGTTTTTATCAAATTGCTCTTCCAAATAGCTTTAAAGAAAGCTATTTCCTCAAACTTTCCCACTCTTGCTTCTAGTTCTCACACTGGAGATGTTCATGAAGCTTTATTGAAGCTAAATTAAATGATTGCCATGGAGAAGGCCCATCAGCAAGTGTTTTATCTCCTGCTTTTGATATGGCCAAACTGGGAATCTTAAGCTTCACCAAAACCAAACAAGTAGTTTCAAAAGACAATTTAGATTCTATGGTTAAGGGTAGAGGCCATCCTCTTTTGCCCATGCAGAAATATATTGGATTGTCGGAAAAGTCATGATGCATGTTTGCGACAGATAGCACTAGTTCATTACTAGAGTGATTTGCAGCTACATTATTCCTATGTCATTTGACACCTGACAGTTCTAGCTTCATTCTAAAAAAAAAAAAAAAGAATTGAGCAATTTGGTTGAGTTTTGGAGATTTTACAACAAGTTGAAGATGGAAGACCAAACTGTGCATTTTTGCCGTATTTTACTGTTTTACTTCCATAAAGGGAAGAACGCACGTCAAGCTTGTGAAAAGTTGCATAACAGGGATAGAAAAAGACAGTCCGAGCAATATAATCAATAAAGTTGTAAGTATTTCTTAGGGGGCCAGATGGACCCAT